CTAGAATTGCTTTTGCTATTCTAAGGCATCTTCTGATTCCAAATGAATTTTAGGAATGTTTTCTTATTTCTGTGTGGTATACTAATGACATCTTGATTGGGATTACATTAAAATTTCAAAACAATTTTGGGAGTATGGCCATTTTTGCTATGTTAATTCTTCCTACCTAAGAGCTAGGGACATCTTTGCATTTTCTAATAGCCTCCTCAATTTCCTTCTTCAGAGTACTGTAGTTTTCAATATAGGTGTTTTTTACTTCCTTTGTTAGATCAGTTCCTAAGTGTTTCATTTTTAACACTCTTATGAAAGGTGTTTCCTTAATGTCTCTCTGAGTGACTTCTTATTCATGTGCATGAATGATATTGATTTCTGAATTTTGACTTTGTAGCCAGCTATGCAACTGAATTTGGTTATTAAATCTAGAAGGATTTGGTGGGGTTTTTGAGGTCTTCTTTGCATAGTATCATATGTGTAAAGAATGATAATATACTTTTGTTCTTTCCTATGAATATTACTTTTATATTTTTCTCTTGTCCAATTGCTTTGGATAGTGTTTTCAGAACTATTAAATAGGAGTGATGATAGTGGACATCATTGTCTTATCCCTGATTTTTGAGTGAAAGCTTTCAGTTCTTGGTCATTTACCATTATTTTGGCTATTGGTTTGTATACAGGAATGCTATTGATCTTTGAGTGTTGACTTTGTATCTAGCTATTTGGTTATTTAATTGATAGGGCTTTTGGTAGAATTTTTTGGGTCCTCTTTGTAAAGTATCATGTCATCCACAAATAATGATAATTTAACTTCTTCCCCTCTCCTATTGCTTTTACTTCTTTCTCTTGTCTGATTACTCTGCTAGTGTTTCAAGATCTATATTGAATAAGAGTGGTGATAGTGGAATTCTTATCTTGTTTCTGATATTAGAATGAAAGCTTACAATTTTTAACTATTTAGTATGATGTTGGCTATTGATTTGTCCTAGGTGGCTATTATCATGTTGAGATAAAGCCAATTTACTACAATTTTCTGTAGGGTACTTATCATGAATGGGTGTTAGACTTTGTAAAATGCTTTTTCTGCATCTATGGAGATGATCTTGTGAATTTTGTCCTTGACTGTGTTAAATGGTGTGCTGCATTTTTTGACATGTGTATGTTGAACCATCCCTCCATCCCTAAAATGAATCCTACTTGGTCATGTTGTGCAATATTCTTGATGATATGCTGCATTTTGTTTGCCAGTCTCTTATTTGGGATTTTTGCATTTATGTCCATTAGGGTAATTGACCCGTAGTTGTATTTTTGCTTGGGTCATTCTCTGGTTTTGGTATCAGGGTAATACTTGCATTCAATAATGACTTTGAGAGTATTGCTTCCTTTTCATTATAGAGTTTGAGGAGTGATCTTATTAGATCTTTAAATTTCTTGTAGAATATATTAGTTAATCCATCAGGATCTTGTAGATCCTTTGCTTTGATGGTAGATTTTTAAATTTTCCTGCAATTTCATTGACAAATATTGGATTTAGAATTTTTACATGTCCTTAATTCAGCTTTGAGAAATAATAAGAGTCTAAGAATCTGTCCATTTCTTCTGTGTTTTCCACCTTATTAAAGTTTCTCAAAGTAGATATTCATGAACCTCTGAATTTCCACAGGATTAATTTTGATTTCATCCTTTTCATTCCTAACTGCATAAATTTGAGTCTTGCTTTTATTTGATAAGATTGGATGAGGGTTTATCAATTTTATTGAAGCTTTCAAAGAACCAGTTTTTTGTTTTATTGATTCATTGTATTTTCTCTGTTGTATTGATTTCTGCTCTGATCTTCATAATTTCCTCCCTGATATGAGCTTTAGGCTTGACTTCTTCTTCATTTTCTATTTTTCCCCAAAGATTTATGTACAAAATTTGAATTTTTGTGATTTGTTTTGTTTATCATTAGTGAAATTTACATTTTTCTAACCCTCCTTTGTTAATATTTCCAAAAACATCACTTGACTATTTACAAGATATGATTGAAACTTTTTTAATTTAAAAATTTATTACAAGTAAACACATATTGGCATTGATCTCCCCCAATTAAAATCTTTCCCTTTGCTTCAAACACATTTATCTTGTTGTCCTTCCCACTTTCTGAAGTAATCCTGGAAGTCTTTTTTGAATGTTTTTGCTTGATGTGATTAAAATTGAGTAAGTCCCTGACTTATGAATGAATCCCATTCTTAAACATTCAGAAGTCATATTCATTTTTAAGTCTGACAAAGTGCATCTTATATACTTTTAACATAAATATACAATATGAAACATAAAAAAACAAACACATATAGTACCATTAGAAACAAAGGAGCTGAGTGAGTCACTCCTTTCTCTCCACCAAACCATTCTAATAATTATTCATGTTTCCACAATACTACAGAAAAGAAATTGTATGAGCCACTCCTGTTCTTTCCCTTCAACCATAAATACAAATCACCTAGTGATTATCCAGTCTTAAATGTAAGAGGTCTTAATGCCAGTAGTAGCAGATGAGAGAGGCATCATCAGTGAGAGAGGTAATGGGAGACACCTAGGATCAGAGGTGTCAGTCCCTTTAATACTGAAAGCTTGAGTTATCAAGTCCTCTATTTTTGCTTTAACTTTTGGCCTTTTCTTGCTGCTACTGTCTTGTAATATTCATAAAATGTAGCTACTTACTACATACTATGAGGTGTACATTTGGCATATATTTCCTTGTTGTACATAAGAACCTAGAGTAAGTACTCTAAAAAAACTATTTTTTATCTTTAAAGCTACCCTAAAACAGTGATAGAGTACAGTGTAACTGCACATCTACTTTTGAAGTTTGTTTGCCTCTCCAAATGTAATGTATCTATGAAATTTCACAACTCAAATATTCACAAGTTCAGCATTTACTATGTAACAAATGCTGCTTCTGAGTGTCAACCAATGAAAAATCAGGCTCAGAAAGACATAAAGTTTTTCCTCATTCATCTTATTCACCAGACCTGTCACTGATAAAGAGGAAATGTTAGATGTCAGATATGTTGAGTTTGTGTTTCCTGAAGACAGAAAATGAATTCTAAGGAATAGTGGAGGTTAAGAGTAGGAAAATGTATTGAAGAAAAAGGAACAGGGAGTAAGAATAGCTCTTGAGAGATAGGAGGACTGTCTGTTCTTCTTTTTCTAGAAGTTCGAGGTTCAACATTAAGCTCTTTATTTGAGTTCATTCTGTTTTCCTGATGTGAGAATTCACTGCTATAATTTTTTCTCTTAGGGCTGCTTCTATTGTATCCCATAAGTTCTGCTATATTATATCAGCATTGTTGTTTAACTACAGATACTATTTAATTTCTTCTTTCAATTAAGCTCTCTTTGTCACAAATATCTGAGATTCACTTGATTTTCACAATGAAAATGTAATTTGTTATGATATTAGAAAATTGCACTGGGGATGTGGCTCAGTGGCAAAGCTCTTGATTTGCATGCATAAGGCCCTGGGTTCAATCCTCAGCAGCACCAAAATTTAGGCCTGGGAATTTAGCTCAGCAGCATAAGCGTCTGCCTGGCAAGTGTGAGGTCATGAGTTCAATCCCCAGTATCCACCCCCCCCCAAAAAAAAGAAATTGCAATGGTAATCCATCAAGAGGAACTGGCTTTTCTTTAGCTCTTTCATGAATAGTAAGGAGTTTTTCTTTTACTTTCTTTTGTCCTCTTCCTGTTATCATTTTTGTGTTGTCTTTTGCTCTGTCAGTCAGTTTGCTTAGCTTATGGCTATTTGATATTCAGTAATAATTTAGGATTGAAATTGGTTTTAGCTTAACACAGACTTCAGCCTACCTCTTGGCCTTTTTTTTCTTCTTTTTTTAAATTTCCAGTTTCTGTACTATCTACTAATGCATCTCAGCATTTCTATGCCTTGACTAAAATTTTCAGAAGAATCATGTCTAGCCTGTGTGTTCATGTCCATGTACAATGTCAACCATACTGACCAGTCAATGAATTTTTTTGCACTTTGGATAGATGCCAGTGCTTGGTCGAATTTGCTATAGCTAAAGGCAAGATAAGATTATTGGGTATATATTGTGAACATTTATCCCACAAGAAAAAAGTATGGGGGAAGTAGTTGTCCTTGGAAAACAATATTGGTCAGTTGTCCCAGATTTGTATCTGTGTTTGCAAGAGTAAAATTACCATTTGAGTCATACAGAGTTTCCCCCTAGTGGCTAAATTAATTAAACAAAAAGGAAATAAAGACAAGAGGCACAGTAGAATGTATTAAAAGCCAAAGAAAGGAGTGATGCTTGGTTTGAAACTGAAAAAATATTTTGAAGAAAGGGGAATATTGTTCTATTTACCTGGAGAAGTCCACTTAGCATGTGTTTTATGTCTATCTCAGTGTGGCAACTAACCCCAAGTTACAAATACTCAAGCCTATTTTCAGCTTGTAGTGACCTATCTGCATGACACTTAGAAAAAGCTGGATTTTAGGAAAGTGTATTGGTCCTTACTTTGGTAGTCTCCATAAACGAGACCAAGTTAAAAGGTGTTGGAGAAAGAATTTAGTCTTATGAATTGTCAAAATATTTCGACTATAAGATATATATGGTTTTAAGGCCAGTGATATAACTCAATGACACAAGCAGCTGCCTGGCAAGCCCAAGGTTGTGAGTAAAATGAGAGAGAGAGAGAGAGAGAGAGAGAGAGAGAGAGAGAGCTATGAAGGTTCAGACATGGTAAAATGTATATGGTCTAATCTCAACTCCCAAAACTACTCTTGTTTTTAATGAATTGCCCTTTCCACTATCTACTATACTTTACTAACTGTGGCATAGCAAAAAGTGATTTTTGGCAATACTGTAGAAATTTAGAATAAAAGGGAAAGTGTAAGAGCTGAGTGGAGGAAGTAACATTTAAGCTGATGTAGTCCAGGTTGGATATTGGGGTGACAAAATATCTTATTATATGTTTTCTACCTGTTTCTGTGGTTTTCTTTGCAGGACTCCTGATAAGCTCAGGCTGTGCCTTATATCCCTTAGGATGGAATAGCCCGGAGATAATGCAAACATGTGGGAATGTCTCAAATCAATTTCAATTAGGTAAGGTGTCCTGAACAGGATAGAAGTAATGGCATATGGGTAATGTGTTTTTCAGTGCTCTACTTCTTGGAGTCTCTGTTTCTTAGTAGTATTTACCTGAATCTCTCATGCTGTTAGTTTACCATAGGTGGTGGCTTGGTCAGTTTACCCATCTTTCGTAATTCAAGGGGATTGGCTGTAAATTCTCCTTTAACTCTCTTTCCATGTGACTTATGCACTGTGGCCTAGAGTTCTTTGACTGGCTTGCAGCAACTTTGTATATTGAGGAATTTGAAATATTTGGAGACTAGTGAGTGGTATGCTGTCTTCTGAGTAAATCTGCCTTGATAACTTTTTTATCATTGCTGAAGTTGCTGAAATAGAATCCCCTACACCCAAAATTAAGGAAGGACATGTTATTTTGCTCAGTTTGTAAAGGTGGCTCCTTTACAGGTTGTAAAACTGGCTCCACAGCAGGGTGACATGGCACAGGGGCAACAATTCAAGGTAGCAGAAGACAGCAACGACAGCAAGAGCAAAATGAGAGGGGATAGCAAGCCTCTCTTCCTCTTATATTGTATGTAGACTGTCCACCTATACCATACCCATTCCCTCCTCTTTAACATGCTCAGGATGTTTCCGAAGTGAGGACCCTGGGCCCCTGCTGAGTCACTTCTAACTTTCTCAGTTCTCAAGCTGACACAACGTATCAACCAGTACAAAGTCTTAGCTACTATTAGTGTTTCAGCTAGGCACTATTTTCCAAATATAAGTCAACAATTTCCGTTTTCAATTTCCAATGAGGCTATAACTAGAAATTTAGTTTATTTGAAGCAAGGGACATTGGATTAAGTGTTAAAAATTGTTCCTACTGGTAAAAGTTATTATTATTAGAAGAGATGATAGGTATGAGTCTTGACTAGATCATTCTCTGCCAGCTCTCACTTAGTATAGTTTAGGATTATGATTATGAGTTGATAGTATAATAGACTATGATTGAAAAACTTCAAAATATTTCCCCAACCTATTATCCTATTATGGAAGATGGTAAGAGAGGAAATATCTAAGTTTCGTTGAGTATTCACAGTTGTAGGAAAAGATTTGGAAGCAGTGAGAACACCTATCCAGTTTTAGCTCCAATACTTCCCTCTCTTTCTGTGGCCATAGAGTTTCCTGAGTCTCAGTTGACCAATGTTTGAAGGAAGGAGTTTCTCTCTGTAAAAACACAATATGTGGGCATTGCAATATAGAAAATGTCACAAGTATGAACCGTGGAATTTCCAGTGTTCTGATTCAGGACACAGATAACTGGTAAATGTAACAATCCCGCCACAAGGGAAGGAATGAAGAAATACTTGGAGGAAGTGATGAGACAAAGAAAGCCATTGGTTTTGCTAGGTGGATCTGAGAAAGTTTAAAATATATGTTTCTACTTAGTTGTTATATTTATAACTCTACATTTAAAAATAATACTTTTATTAATTAGAGTTCATATACCATAAAATTCATTCACCCTCTGTAAGTGTTTGAGCAGTGCTTTTTGGTATATTCACAAGGTTGTGTAGTCATCTCCACTCTACAATTCCAAAAACATTTTCATCAGCACAAAAAGAAACTCCTTATTCATTCATAGTCAACATTCCTTCTGCTTTTAGTCCTCGGCAACTACCATTCTGAATGTTTCATATTCTAAATCATATAGCAAATCTTTTGAAAATCCTTTTTCAATTACTACAATGTTTTTAAGATTATCCACGCTGTACTATGTGTCTGTATTTTATTAATTTTCATAGCTGAATAAGATTCTATGGCATTAGATATATTGCAGTCATACATTTATCAGTTGACGAATACAGGTTTTCCTCTCACATTTTGATTATTATGAATATGCTGTTATGAATATTTTTGTTCATATTTTTCTGTCAGCGTACATTTTCATTTTGGAGTTTATTTTTAGGGGTGAAATTGTGGGTCAAATGATGGCTTCATCATGAAGCCTTTTGAGAAACTGCAGGCTTTTTTGCAAAGTGACTATGCCACTTTAAATTCCTATTAGCTATGCATATGTGTTATAATGTCCTAACATCTTCAGCAAAATGTATTTTCCATTTTTTATTATAGCCGTTCTCATGAGTGTGAAGTCATATCTCATTGTGATTTTTCATTTTCAGTTTCCTAGTGACTGATAATGTTGAATATCTTTTCATGAATTTATTGGCTATTTATATTTCTTCTTTTGAGAAATGTGTATTCAAATTCTATATCCCCTTTTAATTGTTATTTGTCTTTTTGTTGAGTTGTTAAAGGTTTTAATATACTCTAGACACTAGACCCTTTTCAAAATATATGATTTGCAATGTTTTTTCATCAATCTGTGGGTTATCATTTCACTTTCTTGATGACACTCTCTGAAGTATGAATCTGTTTAATTCTGATGGTATATTAACAAGGTTCCAATTACTTGTTTTTGTTTATTGCTTTTGATGTCACAGCTCAGAATATATTGAAAAATCTAAAAATTAAGAGCTTTACCTATGCATTTTATTCAAAGAACTTTATAGATTTTAGTACGTATAATTTGAGTCTGTACCATTTTGAATTAGTTTTTATATGGTATATATAGAAGTTCAAATTCATTATTTTACATGTGAATATCCAGTTGTTATCATATCATTTATTGAAAAGCCTATTGCTTTCCCCTCATCCAGTGATCTTGGTACCCTTGTTGAAAATAAACTGCTCATAAAGTGTTGGTTTATGATGTGGACTATTCCCTTGATTTGTATGTTTATTCCTATGCCAATACCACACTGTTGACTAGTATAGTGAGTCCTTCTTCGCAAAACTATTGGGCTATTCCTGGTACTTTGCATTTTCATCTGAACTTTAGGGTTAGCTTGTCAATGCCTCTACAAAAGCCTTCTGATACGTTTTGAGTAGGGGTTGTGTTCAATCTATATATTAGTTTAGAAAACATTACTACTCTAGTATTGTTTTGTAATCTATGAACATGGGGTGATTTGCATTTTAGTTAGGTTATGTTTAAATCTCAGTGATATTTAGTAATTTTCAGGGTAGAAATTTCTTACTGTTCGGTTAAATTTGTTCCAAAGTCTTTTATTATAAAATTCATTTTAACTGAAAAATAATAACTATATGTATATTTCCCCACAAAATGTATGCATACTTCAGAAAAAGAAAAACTTGTATAAATATTTTAATATACACCAGATATTGATCCCCCAGTAAACTGACTATTTCGTCCAAATAAGATTTTCATGGTTTCAATACATTTAGTATTAAAATATTTATACAGTATTTCTTTTCCTGAAGTGTGCATATATTTTTTGGTATACTCTATACATTTATTTGTGGGATAAAATGTGATGTTGTAAACCATGTGTATATTGTAGAGTAATTAAATCAAGCTGATTGACAGAATTTTTTAAAATTTTAATTTTAGATTTCTAATTGTTAGTATATAGAAATACAAATGCTTTTTCTATACTGACCTGTTTTCCTGAAACATTAATTAATAATTTTAATAACTTTTAGTGGATTTCTGAAAATTTTCTGAGATACTACAAGAAAAGACATATTTTTTTTATTTTTCCTTTCCAATCTAGATAGATTTTTTTCTTTAACTAATTTCTCAGGCTAGAACTTGCAGGACAATATTGAATATAACTTGAGAGAGCATAAATTTTAGTCTTATTCCTGTTCTTTGGATAAAATATCCAGTTTTTACCATTAAGTATTGATGCCTTTAATCATATTTACCACAAAATTATTTTTCTTCTTTTAAAAAATTTTGTGATAATTTCTCTCTTCATTACATTCTCCTCCTTTAGTTATGATTCTGTCTTGTGTCATATGTCTTCCTGAGGGTCATAGTTCCCTTCTTTTTAATGCACTGGATTCTGTATTGTTCTGTGAATCACTAGAAATGAAAGGATTACTGAATCCTACTGAATCAAAGCCCACAGTTACCATTATTTGGCTACATTAAATTCTTCCATCTCCATTAGATGTCTTTCATTTTTTCCATGTCCACCTTTTATGCACACATAAGGACATTATGATAAATGCTGAAAGAAATACAAACCTGGGCCCTCTTTGATCTTTTTCTGACCAACCGCCCAAACATACTTCATAGTTCTAACTGTATTAACAATTTTCTGCTAAATGGAGATGCCAGAAGCAGGAGCATGTCATAGAATTTAAGATTCTTTTATGTTGTATAGGTAATGCTATACTTAAGAATGACATAAGTTAGGGACTCTGAGGTTACAAATATGACTTTTTTCTCAGACACTTGGCCAATGTTCTGTATTCTGTCAGTATGAACACATCCTTGGCACATGTTAGGTTTCGTATGGATGGGTGAATGATCTAGCAGAAAAGTATCATGGGTGTCCAGTATATGGGCTTTTGTTGCTTTTTCCTTAGGAGTTAGCATTGCACATTAAAAAATCATGGACTTTAAAGTCAAAGATCTCAGTTCCTAGCATGGGTTTTCCATGTAAATAATTCTATAGACAAAGTTCTTTTGTTGTATGTCATGCACCTTCTCAGTGAAATGTGGGTAGTAGTAATATCTGTTGGAGTGTCTTTGTTGGAATAGTATAAGAAAAGTTATATTAAGGTACCTGGCACAATATTTGACAGACAGTAAATGGTGGCCTTCTTTGAAACATATCAGAGTAATGTGCTTGGGGATAGGCTTTCCATAGATAGCATTTATTTGGACTCAGTTGTAGACTCCATAGTCTATGAGGTGCCCTTTAGTTTGGAAAGACAGATGCACAGAGCCAAAGAACACATAGTATCCACCACAGGAACAAAGATTTTTACCTAAGTTGCTTGAAACAGACGAAGTGTGTAGGCAGGAGAAGAGACACAGGCATTGTCGATCTGTTGGAGTAAAATTTGTTGCTTACTCTGATGATCTGACAGGCCTCTACAGTTTCCAGTACAAAAGGTGACACCTCACCTCTTTTCCTAGGTTTTCCATCCCACGT